CTATCTGCTCCTTTCTCACCTTTTTACTGTTAATATATTGGTAAAATGTTTTGGGGTTCTTTTTACTATCTGCGGCGATATGCTTTTCGCACTCAGTTTTAGCTGCCCGGATTTCTAGTTTGCATTTTTTGTTACATTCTTTGTAGTTAAGGAACGCCAATGCCGTCCCTTCCGTCTTATATTTTATAAATGTCCCTCCCTTGTCCTTGACGTGTTGTTTTAAAGTTTTATTACTCAACGGATTTCCTATATTGACTGGAGTGAGCCCACTATTATTAACTCCTTTTTTACTACTAAGTAAAGATACATTTGTGTACAAGCAGATAAAGAAAAAGAAATGGAGGAAGGAGTTAATTAGGGGTTAACTAATGGATAATAATGGATGATGTTAAACATGCAATTGAAATAGTTTAACGTTCCTCTAAATTGTATTGTCTTTCTGCTATATTTCAGTTGAATTGGCAATGATAATGGATCGTCTCTATGGGGGAGTCTGCTACGCTGGCATAGATACAGATCCGGAGTTGAAATATCCGAAAGGAGCCGGCCGGGTGGCGTTTTCCAACCAACAGAGCTACATCGCTGCAATCAGTGCTCGTTTTGTTCAGCTACAGCACAATGACATTGATAAACGGGTAAGGAGCAAAGGAGCAGCGACATACACCATATAGATGAAAGCCCCACATATGCAGCACCTCTTGGCCAGCCAACTCACACAAGTGCTGTAACGTCAACTGGCTGATAACTAGTCATCTAAGGCTCATTTTATCAACAGAACCGCAGTGTCCCCTTTTATGATTAAATTGGTGTAGGATGGAGTGGCCTTTAGATGTCATAGATGTGCCAGCCCCCCCTGTCCAGTAATCTCATAAAAAAAAAACTAAAAACCAATAAAGGGGTTGTGTGTATAACATAGAGAATACAAACCGTGTTTGAGTGTAAATTACAAAGTCGTATTACAAAAACAATGTAAAATATATATCAAGCAAATAAAATAAAAAAACACACCATTGTGGATGTTTAATACTTTATATACATATAGGCCTTACACCATAATGTTATCATTCGTCTAACAAAAGACCGATTATAACACTTTCATTGTCGACGCATTTCACCATAGACATCCTTCATCAGAACAAGGTTTTCTTAGAAACCTTTTAGGACTGATCTTCACTTTGAAGTGTATTTACATTTTTGCAGTCCAATTTGATAAAAACCTCACTAAGTTTATGTTCATATTCACACAGAACACCTACAAATATATTTATAAAGACATCAGAGTGCAAGATTATCTGTACAGTTTCAAAGTAACAGGAAACACTGCCTCTGTTCTGCACAGTGGACACAGTCATGCCCCCTACCCCCATCCCGCCTATGGCTTAAACTGCTGTAGGCCCAGACGGTGTGCGGCCAGACTTTTTTTTTATGGGAGGTGAGTATGGATGTTGGAGCAAGACAGTCTCGGCCAGTGTTCCCCCCACGGTTCTCTCTGGTGGGTGCTGTGACGGTGCGGTGATACTGGCTTATGGAATTGCATTACTAAGAAGTGAAGTTGCTGTGGGTTTGCCCCAGTAGACACAAATCTAAAGATGAGATGCTGGCAACTATGAAGTCCAGCTGCCCGTGTAATCTTCTCTTCAGCACAAGGAATAAAAATATTGAGAAAAAAAAATTACAAAATGATTTTAATTTTGTTTTCTAGGTGGAAGTGAAGCCATACGTGCTGGATGATCAGATGTGTGATGAATGCCAAGGCACGCGCTGCGGTGGGAAGTTTGCCCCCTTCTTCTGTGCCAATGTGACCTGCCTGCAATATTATTGTGAATACTGCTGGGCCAGCATCCATTCTCGCGCTGGCAGGGAGTTCCACAAACCACTGGTGAAAGAAGGAGGCGACCGGCCTCCCCACGTCCCTTTCCGTTGGAGCTAAACACTGCACCCGCCGCTCACCAAAGGTCTGGGAGATGCGTACCATCTAGGCTCCTCAAGATCTACAGAAGAATTTGGTCTTTTATGTTCTTTTGTATTATAAATATTAGTTCCAGCCACCTTATGAGAGTAACTGTCCTGAATTTTGCACTTTGATTTCTACCTATATATATATATAATTGAAAACATCTGCTTGGTACCTTAACTTTCCGTCACAGGAGTGTTGTAAGTAGAGACATCTCATTAGGCTGGTGCAAGTTCCTCTCTCTCTGCCATGTTGTTGTGGGTGTGGTGAAGAAATTCTCAACTGGAGCATGCACTTAAATATCTGATTCCCAATGTATCTTCCTCTCACCCCATAGAAGATGACTTACCAAAGGCCTCAGAAGTGGATAATGTAGCAAAAAAAAAAAAAAAACCTTAGCGATCCATCAGTCTTATCTCATTCATGCAGTGAAGTATAGTGAATGTCATCACTGCTTTATAGACCTACAACGTCTCCAGCTTGTATGGGTATTTAAGAACCATGTATTTTGTAAATTAAGTTAAAGAAAAAAAGAAGAAAAAAAAAAAGAAGACAAAGTATATCTTATAAAGTGAATCAGATTTTTTATATGTATATTTTATTTTTTATCTTATTTTGCTGTGTTTTATTTTTTATTTTATTTTTTTATTATTGAGCAGGTTCTGTTTGAGAGAGGTAGACCTTTTTAGTGTTATGTACATGTATGCTGCAATAGCTTTTTGCTGCTATTTAAACAAACGAAAACAAACAAAAAAATGGTGTTGGTAATAGCGGAATACTCTATTCAGGCTAGGGTATCTGTCATTCAAAAAATACAAAAATGAAGTTAAGAGCTGCTGGTGAATTGATTTAGAAAACTTCCGAGGAAGGTCGTCCTTCATTTTTCTTTTTCTTTTTTTACGTTTTCTAATGCATGTCTGATAATCTGATAGTTGCATGCAATAATAAACCACATCGTATACAACTCGACCACAATGCACAAAAATAAAGTGTCTATATAGACTAATAATGATATAAAATATGACCTGGAGGAAGGCATGTCGAATTATCTGTTATGAATCTAAAAGAATACAGTCAGTTCATTACAGATTATTTTTTTTTTATATATATACAACCAGTAAGTAAAATTAAATGTAGGATATTAAGTACAAGAAGAAAAAAATAAAAGTATAGTAGAAATAAACCATAAATTAAAGATGCGGTGCTCTGTTATATTGTGCAATTTCTTTTATGTAGTAAAGTGATTATGTCCCGTACTGTGATCAGACGTAACTTCAGGCCTCTGTGTTTATCTGACCGCTTGTTCGTTGGTAGTTAAACAGAAACACGAGCTCTTTGTTAGTTACAAATCCCGATTTTTGTGGGTTGTTTTTCGTCGTTTTTATTTTTTTACTCTATTTTCTGTAGAAATATTTTTGTAGTTCTTTTAGCCCAAGCTCGGCACACTAATTATTCCGTAATCTATTGTTCTCAGACACTACCAAAACGGTTGGGAATATTATCTGTTGGACATGCAAGGCACAAAAAAAAAATGCTAAATTATGTCTGCCTTGAAAATGTATCGGGGGAATGTTTTTAGTTTTATTTATTTCAAAACAAAAAGATAAACTAAACTTTTCTCCTTTGTGTATCCTGTGAAGCTTGAAGATTTAGTCCTGCTAACAGTGGGCATTTTTTAGCACAAGGCTGTTCTGCAGATGGTATTTATTGGGGTACAAAGTCTTGAAAGTACCCCGGCTCCCTTTTATGAAAGGAGCTTCCCAATTTCAGCAATTTAAAAACCAGGTTTGTTTCCCTGCAAATGATGGCATGTCTGTGCACAGAGAGCATTATAATCTCTTTTGTCCCCTGAAGGATTTTCTGCAATTGAATTCTTTTTCGGGCACAAAAAGTATTTATTTTTCTCATATATTTGTTTGTATGTTAAGTTGCAAATATAAGACATAAAGTAATTATTTTTTTATATTTTTATCTTATTTTTTTGCTTTTGAATGTTCTATTCAAGCTGAGAGAAAAAAAATATGTGGGAGCTTACATCTTTATGTATCCTCCTGCATTGCATATCCTTTTGGAGCTATTTGAAGCTATGATAACTTTTTGTTAAAAAATGTAGAAAGAAAAAGTCTGTCATCTGTAAAAATGTTATTTTGTTATGCACTACTATTTGTACCTGGGCAATTTTTTTCACAGTCCACTTCTGTTCGTTCTTTTTT